CAATCTAAGGCTTAAACCCTGGTCGAAGCGAAGCGCATGCGATGAGGGAAGAGAGAGACCACCAATGCAAGTGGATCGACTTAAGCATCGATTTCGAAGGCGACAACATTAAGCATGAAAATAGAGCCTGCCACTTTTTCTCGTTAATAATGTTACAAGCAACAACGATAAAATAAGCTCTTGGATGCATGCCCCTATCTCCTCTCCCACCCATCGTCCTGATCTTGGCTTGAAGTATCCAAGTAGTGCTAAAATGAAAAAGCGAACTATTGGAATTATTGTCTTGGGCTTAGCCCTCTTTTACACCAACTCAATAACAAGCGCCGAACAAGGATGAAAGAAATAACATTACTAATAAAAATGTATTCATTCAACCATTCATATTACGTTACGGCAATCCTACACGCCGTCCGTGCAAGCAGGATACCGCGGTCAATGCTGTAAACAGACCTAGCATCATGCCATCAGAGCTCAATTCAAGCAGGAATCGGCCGGTATCGAGCAGTCGCAATTCCTTGGGCGCTTCGTGGCCCCGTTAGCTGTTAGCTGGCTAAGAAAGACTTACGTAAAAAGGCATTCCGAGCCTGGAATATGGATGAATAAGAAACCTTTTAATATCACCGGATAGCAAAAATATTTTTGTTCGCTTGGCTAATATCAGGGAAATGGACGCCTGTTGAGATGGATTGTAAATATGTCAGAAGATCTCTTTGGCCTGCGGTCGGGAGCTTGAGAGTTATATGCCTTGACCAGTAAGACTGTGGATTATTGGCATCTATCAAATCTTGTCACCCCGCTTCTCTATAAAGGAAAAAAGGGAGGAATCCCGTCCGCCTACGTATTATTCTGACCAATATGGTCAGATCCTTTTTTGAGAAAAAATCTCCAGACTAGCGTTGCTGACGAGATTGATTAGTGCCGCACTTTGACACCTTAACTGCTTCCCGGTACGAAAATAGCTGCCCCATAGAAGATAGGCTTTATTTCACGTAGCTGACTTTACCGTCAGTTCAATTTGAATAGTTTTTCGCTATGTTCGCAGGCAAGTGAGACGATCCATCAATGCCCTTATCTACTTCGAAAGAACCGGTGTCATCGAAACATGGTGAAGAGGTGGCAACTAGATCAATAATAGCTGAAACTTCTACTGTACAGGGTTCGGATTGCCCAACTGTCCAATATCAAGGGAGATCTTTTTTTTAATATAGAAAGCAGACTCAAGGTGCGAAGTAGCTTTCATCATGAGGAGTCGTAGGGCGAAAGGAGTAGAAAGATATGAATTCCTACAAAGAGGAAGGGGTCGAATGCTATAGGTAATGCATATGATATGGAGGGATAAAGCCTTTAGCTTTTATTCAGTTTTTATGTGTCGGATAAATTTCATTTCTACTTGAAGGCACCTCTATTATAATAACCGCCTGCCTAGCAACATCTTTTCTGGGTAAGTTACTCTCCTATTCCGGAGAAAGAGCCCCACCCCAATTCGGATTCGAACCGATGTTGCCTATTTCTTAGGGCTTCAAGAGCGTGACTCTTCTTTATTTATATAAACCATTTTTCAGTCTAGTTTTCCACAAGGCATGCAAGCAAGGCCTATGTGGAAGAAAGAAGTCAAGTTGGACAAAAGAGAGAAATCACTCGCGGCACACTGACTATATCGACAAATAAAAGTATTGGTCATGAATATACACTGGCGTTGCCTATGCGGTCTTGGGAAATGGTTTCTTGTCAATCAACATATGTTTTCCCTTATCGGTAAACATCAATCTTGTCCTGTATTGCGCGGCGGAAGGCTACGCAGTCAGCTGTGGCGTGACTATTACTGGCATGAAACTAGCATATGGGTTTCTGTCCCTTTAGTGCGTCTAACTGGACTTGATGCTCTGGGGACCCAACTAACCCGACTTTTTCTAAGCAATCATAGATCTCATCGGCCTTTGAGACATCGTACGTGAAGTCACGTGGCCGATTGCCAAATTTGCCTGCTGTCCGCTCCATACCAGGCTTGTTTAGCATGGCAGCCTGATTGGGTGGGGCTTTGTGTAGAGCAAGGCAAACAACTGGCTTAGTGATCTTGATCTCCGCCACCATTGCATCAAGTTCGACTTTTCGCAGTAAGCGCTCGTGGCGAGTGACCTTGATAGCCAAGTCACAGAGATCATCGAATTGCTGGAGCGCAGTGTAGTTTTATTCGCTGGGCTCAAGGTTCGTGATCAAGACCGATAACGTGTCTACGAGCTCTTTCCTTACTCAGAAGAGAGCCCAACCCCAAGCGGGCATGGTGGCAATACTTTCTGGTGGGGTTCGACATGGTCCTTGAGTACAAGCCCGGGAGGACCAATCAAGTTGCGGACGCACTAAGTCGAAAGGCCGAGTTGGCATCCAACAAGTTAGAAGAGATAGTAGACATGAGCCAACTCAAAGGGGCCATCCCCGAACGCATAAGAGAGGGGTTGGAAAAGGACCCCGTAGCCCAGACCCTGCTGAAAAACGTGAGAAGCTTCTGTTAGTAGTTCCGCTCGAGTAGAACGGTTGTTGGTGCTCTATTTCATATCCTCCTCCTGTTGGTTGGTGAGTTACCTCTTCCATTCCTTTCCATTGAATCTCTGACAAAACCTACCTTTCAAACAACAAGAGGACCCCTCTAAAGCCTCTAGTTGCCATAAGGAAGCTCTTTGTTATGAAGAAGCCACAAATAAATAAGAGGAAAATTAGGGTCTAAAGCATATAGGGGTTGGCTACGGGCGGCACCCTATAGCTATAACATTATGCGTGTGTAGATCCTTGACAACACAGAGGAAGTTGGAATAAAGATGGCATAGCTTTGGCGGTCATCGCAAAGGTGTCCAACCAATAGAATTTTTTGAGAGATGAGACAAATGCAGCCGGATTGCTCGTCATATGATGGGTAGCCCCACTGCAACATGGGTGGTATAGTCTTTTCCTTATTGTGTGATTCGAGTTTGGAATCGCCGCCGAGGTTTCATGGTTTAAGAATGGACTTAATTCACCTGAGAGAGTTATGCTTTTCTTTTTTAAACTAGGGTCAGTGGTGAGAAGGCCGAGAAATTGGTTAAAACCGTCATCGCATCGGTTGGAACCTCAAGGTGGGATTTTTGTCCTGTGGAAGAGCGAAGATATATCAGTGGATGTCCTTCAGGATGACTCTCAGTTCGTTCATATTAAGGTAGTTCAGGAGAAGAAGAGCGAGTTCTTATTGATTGCTCTCTATGCGAAACCTATGGAGAGTCTGAAAGCCTGGCTCTGGAAGCAAGTTCTTCAGATGTGGGAAGTTTAAAGATTGAAAGCAAAATCATTGATCTTGGGTACCTAGGCTCTCAGTTTACATGGCGAGGCAAAAGTCTCCAGGGTTCAGTCGTGTGTATTAGAGCTTAGATAGAGCTCTGTTTAAGATGGAATGTCATTTTTCCCGGAAGCTGCTGTCCGGAATCTGCCTCCAGTCAAATCCGATCACCACCCTCTTCTTTTTGACCTGCAAAGTTACCTCAGCCGACATTCCAGAGACCTTTGTTCTTTGAAGCGGCTTGGTTGACTCATACTCATAAAGAAAGAGTTTGGTGAGTTTGTGAAGAAAAATTTGAACTGAGGGGCGCGTCTGGTGGTATCGTATATAAAGGAGGCAGCTTTTTTTGGGGAGTGATCTTCTATCAATTGAATAAGAAAGACTTTATACGCGACTCTCGCCTCTATCTAAGTAAGAGGAGGTTGAAGCTTATAGTAAGTAGCCTAAGCTTTAAGAGCCTCCAATCATGCTACTTCAGCTATATGCTTAACACATGCAAGTCGACCCGTCGTTTAGTTAGGAACGAAGATAGTAGACCGGTAGAGAGAGGGCTTTAGCGATGCTCGACTGTTAAGGAGAGGTAGGTAAAGAAGCCTTAACTTAACTAGTCAAAAGCAATTTTTGAAATTACGTAGGTGATGTGAACCACTTTCGTTGTAGCGCTTCCATCTCATGGTAGCGAAAGACGATTCCTACTCCTAAACCGCTGAGTGATGGGAAACAATCTCTAATTACCTATGACGAGATGACCGAGGTTGCCTGCGCCGCTCCGTCAAAGCTTGATTCCAGGTTCAACTCCTTGGCGTCGAGATCTTATTCGTTTGTGAATCTTTCTTTTTCCATGCTTTTTCTTTGGTCAACAACCAAGCACAACTCTCTATAGTTATTCACTACTCCGTGCAGGAAAGACTCTCTTTCTGTCTGGAGGGAAGGCTTTTAGGACTAAGGGTACCATGATACTTTCTGTTTTGTCGAGCCCCGCTTTGGTCTCTGGTTTGATGGTTGCACGTGCTAAAAATCCGGTACATTCCGTTTTGTTTCCCATCCCAGTCTTTCGCGACACTTCAGGTTTACTTATTTTGTTAGGTCTCTACTTCTCCGCTATGATCTTCCCAGTAGTTCATATAGGAGCTATAGCTGTTTCATTCCTATTCGTTGTTATGATGTTCCATATTCAAATAGCGGAGATTCACGAAGAAGTATTGCGCTATTTACCAGTGAGTGGTATTATTGGACTGGTCCTTTGGTGGGAAATGTTCTTCATTTTAGATAATGAAACCATTCCATTACTACCAACCCAAAGAAATACGACCTCTCTGAGATATACGGTTTATGCCGGAAAGGTACGAAGTTGGACTAATTTGGAAACATTGGGCAATTTACTTTATACCTACTATTTCGTCTGGTTTTTGGTTTCTAGTCTAATTTTATTAGTTGCCATGATTGGGGCTATAGTACTGACTATGCATAGGACTACTCAGGTAAAAAGACAGGATGTTTTCCGACGAAATGCTATTGATTTTAGGAGGACTATAATGAGGAGGACGACAGACCCACTCACGATCGACTAAAAGGAAAGTCGCCCGGAGATATTGGTTCAAATCCAATTCGTGAGATGGCAGTGATCTATAATAGGAAGAATTCTTCTGCAGCTGATCCAGCAGTAAAAGATTATCTTTCAACCGAGGGGCATTAGTCAATCAATGAAAAGGAAGAAGTTGTTTAGTTCAAGAAGTAGTTTGGCTTCCCTTCCCGAATGTTGGTTTGGAGTTGACCCAGTAGCAGGAGTTGAACACAGCGGATCAATATCCGCTGCTACATCCGCTGAAAGATCTGTTGCCAGTTCTGATCGATGGGGATAAGCATGAAGGCCAATCATTCCGGTTATCTGAGTTTCCCTCGACAATGTCGGAGATGTTCTCAGATGCTCTTAGATCGGGTGTTGAGGTGGCATATCATAAGGAGTAGCCAGTTTAGATAAAACCGAAGCTAAGGAGAAAGATAACTACTTGACTAAGAAGTCAGTGTTGGAGGGGGACTAATCCCTCTCTTCTAGCCAATACCAGGGAAAGACTTTCTAACCAATTCAATTAATAAGCTAAAGAGAAGTTACAGAAGTACGGAAGTGACAGAGAAGTCAACCTTCTTTGCCAAGGGACTAAACTATCTGCTCTATCTGATACTGAACTAGATGCCGCAAAAGCCCCAACTCTGGCTCAATAAAAGAAGGGGTATCCATGAGATGAGTGCCCGTAAGTCGTAACGTTGAGTTACGGATGTGCTCCCATCTCTTTCTTTAGGGGCGGTGGAAGCTTGACTAGGAAGGTTTGGAGGGAAAGATAATAATAGATCGACTTAGAGCGGTCAGCTTATTCTCTGGTTTCAAGATCAAGAGTGTTACGCAAACAAAGAAGGGATATACACTTGGGTACGAGACCGACTAAACGGATTGGAAATGCAGTTCAGTCAAGAAAGAGATTCGGGTTAGGCGGAAATGGCATATCCAGGGCACGGCGCAGAGGATGTTCCGGTATTGTCAGATAGGAACGGGAGTTAAAGAATGCACTGGAGTAAGTTACAATTGACATTGAAGAAGAACTTGAAGACTAGGCGCCAAAGACAAGGGCTCTTTCTCTAGTAGTGGACTAATCTTGATATTCCTAAAGCAGTAAGCGAAAGAAGAGGTTAGAACCAGCTCCACCGGCGAAAGGGACATGGACTCTTCAGAAGGCTCAGGTTTAATAACAGAATCTGAATCAGTAGCTTTAGGTATAGGGATTCCGGTTCTAACTAAACAATAAGGTAATGGGGTAGACCAATTCAACAAGATTCGAAGATGCTCTAGGTAGAGGTTCGAAGAGACTGAGCCAAGTAAAGATAAATTGTCCGGGCCAAGAAAGCAAGTCAGGAAGGCATAGAGTCGCCCCCAAGATGAAAGGGGATTGGTGGCATCGGTGCCCTTCATTCATTGGATATAACCCTCGAGCTCTAACCCAAAGTTCTGCCCTCGACCTTTAACGACGGGACAACAAACAAAGGACATTTAACCGAATAGCACTAGACCAATAGACCCAAGCAGAGCTAAAGAGCTGGCTAAATACAAATCGGTACAAGTCCTACAAGTAGCCCTTTCTAGCTCCAATGCGGATAACGAAAATAGAACAAGGACTAATAGACCAGTAGACTAATAGGCCAAGTTACACGGCTAAAAGGAAAGCGCTCGGCTCACTCCAAGCATTCCGCTCTATAGTTCTCTTGAATACTTCCACCTATCAGCCTGTGACCCTTCTCTCGTATTAAGAATAAGAAGTAGAGCTCAATCCCATCTTCTAAGTCGAGTGACTCCGCTCCGTTCCAGTGATGTTTAGCCGCGATAGATATGTAGCTCGGGGCCTTCTTGCAGGTCTTATCGTACCTATTGCTCTCAATCCCGTAATGCCCCTGTTATAGAAGCCTTTTAATTTCAAGTGCGGGCTAGCCTATTCCCATTGGCTTTCAAGCGTTTTATTTTAGTACCCTAATGATAAGCTAGGAACAAACTAAACTGACCCACGCACGCCCCTGAGTCTTAGGCCCTTTAATTAGAAAGAAAGCCTGTAAGGGAAAGGCCCAACCCACAAAAGCTCAGTTTCAATTGAGTCTAAGTGAATACACTACGCCATATAGTTCGGGATAAGAAAGCGTCTTACCAGCGTTAGGAGGAAAGAGTTGTGAAAGAAAAAAGCTGTACATGAAGGTACGGTATCCGCAGTTGGTGTTATAGAAGTTGCGGTCTTGAATAAGCAAGCGGTGCTATTTCTGTTACAGTAAGAGCTGTTGAGTAAATAGAAGCTCTGGTCCTATCCTGTTGATGATGAATAAGAGTTTTTGCTATAGCCTTCATGTGCTGATACCAACTAGTATCATATAGTTGAGTGAAAGCTAGATATGCCTTGCATTCCGGAAGTTCTCGCTTACCGAGCCACGCGAAGAGTACCAGACCGGTGCTTGTACGTCTTCCCATTCCAGGGTCAATAGTGTCTACGAACGGAGTGAACCAAGTCAAATGAATTGTTTTTCGAGACCAAGAGTGAGTCGTAGATAGAAATACCTCTCCTATTCGCTTTGTCAGGTGCGCTCTCTCTTCTGTCTCTTATTGGATGGCGGCGGATCGAGGGGAGTGATAAGACATACAATCATACCGAGGTCTTAGCAACTCTATCAAGTAAGAAGATCCTTACAGGTGATAAGATAACCTCAACATCAACAGGCTAATCTAGACTGAAAGGAGAAGCGGAGAGAACTGGGCACTCTCTAATGTCAGGGAGTTTCAAGTTAAAGAAGCAGAGCTTTAGCGAGGCCTCGCCGATTGATAATAAAAAGACTGTTAAACAAACCTGCCTGGCCTTTATTCTAATCCCTTCTAGGGACCTTTCAAAGAAGTTTCAGTTAAAGATACAGTAAGCGTTGCAGTCAGCCAAGAAGTCAGTCCCAGTAGATAGAGTCAGGGAAAGGTATGGGTAAGGCAAGTTAAAACCATTGAGTCATTCCCCCGCCTTGTATCTGTAAGCCATTGAGTCTAGCTCCTAGAGAACGAGTCAGAAGGAAAAAAAAGTAAGAAGTAGTGTCAATCAGTGGCTTTCCCTCCGGCGTTAAAGACGAAGCGCAGTAATTTTTTGATTCGTTCGAGCGACGACCACTAACGAAGAGCCGCTTTCAGTTAGTAACCGGGGTAAATCACATCACATTTAAGGCTTCTTACACGTATTGTATGTGCCGCTATTAAAGAAGAAGCCTGTCTACTACGAGATTAGGATTAGGAAGAAAAACCTTGCTTTTGGCAGATTACTTACTACTAGACTAGGTTGGATCTACTTCTCAGTCTCATCTATAGAGAATAGGAGAAGCATTCGAGTTCTCTCTTTTCTTCCCTAGCAATCTCGCGTGAGTTAAGAAATCGTAACCTATATATACTACCGATATCTCTCGTCAAACTTCAACGGGAATCGATTCTATGATTGACTTAGATTTAGATTCCCTGACCCGCTCTGAAAGAACTCTCCTTTTTGGATGTATACTATGGGTTTCGACTTGGCAACTATCGAAAATCCGCTCCAGATTCTTCTATCGAACAAGGGAAAGGATCGTCTTTAGGGCCCGCGATAAAGAAGAAAGAGGTTTAAAAGTTAATTGCTACTTGATTACCACCTCGTCTATTAAATCTAATTTTTTATCTGTGTGGCTACAGTAAGAAAGAATTCCTATGCGTCCGCAGCTAATTAATCTGATGGATGCCATTTATTATGTTATGTTGTAATGCTAGCGAAAGGCTTTAAACGAATCCCTGACTTAAAGGGAATGGGAAGAAACAACTGGCTTTCTTCTCCTAGTGCAATCAGTTCTGGCACAAGACAATCCTGATTGAATTCTCGAAAACCTGACACCAGCTGTTTCTTCTACGCATGTCCCTAAGACTGAGATGAGTGCCAGACTTCCTTCCTGAACTAGATTAAAGACGCGTTCTAGTGGCCTAAGCTCCAACCAAGTTAGGGACCCCTACCACCGGCTGAAAGTTCCTCGGGCTAGGTGTGTATGATAAGTAAGTAATGCCGAGTTTCAAGTGGATACAGCTCTTTGCCATTAGAGCACTCTTGTGGAAGAGATTGTTGGAAGAATGTCTTGTCGTAGAAGATACAACTGATCTTATATTGATATTGATCTTTTACGAATGGATCCCGGTTGTTCTAGTAGGTGCGTACTTTTTGTTTTTTTTATTGTTCTTGTTCCTTTCATTTTTATTCTCGGGTGTCTTGAACAGTTCACACTCCTTCAATGGAAGAAGAAGGCGATGCAGCGCGCTTAGCTACTGCCTATAAGCAACCATAAGCTTTGACTTAGATAATTTTAAGCTCGAAGTAATCTCTTTTCGGGAAGGGGATCGAGAAGCTTCTAGAAACTATACGAGAAAGCAAAGTTAAATCTCGACTATTACTTGGAAACCACTTTCTATAAGATTTATCTTCTCTTCTTTAATAAGGCAGATTTCCGCATCTATCCTAGCAGCAACAGAAAGGAAGTGAAGAAAGAAAAACTTACTGGACCATCGGGAAAGGGTGATCGATCATAAGGAAGGCCTACGTCTTCATCTCTTGCTTCCAAGTGAGAGTAAGGAGGAAGAAAAAGACCAAGCAAGGGTTAAGATTCGTTCTCACGGAGAATTAGGGAGAAGAAAGAAGACCGTAGGACTCTAAAGTCAGGGATATGAGGCTCGGTCTACAGGCCTTATGTCAAAGCCCGGGAACATATGGGAAGTGCACCAACGCTCGAATATGAATTGGAACCCCCTCCTAAATTCGGTTAATACTAAAATAGATTCCCAATCCCATTCAAAAATATACGCTACGGGTCAGGGAGGCTAACCATATGAGGAGCCCTACTACTAGGACTTGTTCAAGAAACAAGTTGGTATGGCCCATTTCATACCTAATCCCATGGACATATCTGATCATTGAATGGCGGGATGCTAACTCGATTCGCCCTTGCCTCTACGGGATCAACTACTACTTATATAAAGAAAAAGCACCAAAGGTAAGCTGTTCCCAGTAGAAAGATAAAAGCTATTCTTCTTAGCAGTTAAACAAGTGAATGGAATGATTTTCCCCCGGGGGTGACTGAACTACCCGGATCCTCATATCTTGAACTCGTTCTGGCAGCTAGTTTAATGGCACCGGCATCTCATCTAGTCTAGATCGATTCCCTAAGAGCTTCTTCTCTAGCAGGATATTTGGCCCATTTTATCTTTCCTGGTAATAAGGCAAGGCCTTTCCCTATCACGCTTTATTGACTAGCTTCCTTTCTTCGACATTCATTCGTCTCAAAAGAAAGAGCTAGCAAACCTTACCAATTCAATTCCAATTATCTAAGACAGAGCAAGATAACTTCCATCAAGCAGCCCCTTTAGAGCGAGGGCCTTCTGAGACCCATGCTATCAAGAAGAAGAGCCTTGAGCTAAATCATTGACCTTGCGCCTGCTTTGATTAGGACATTGCCGCATCTCATCTGGGGATCTAACTCTTTTCGGCGTAGCCGAACTTATCACCTGGAGTGACTGAAGGATATTATGATTCAAGCTATGAACCAAAGCTAATTCTTTTCTCTTCTCTATTATTGTACCCTCATCGGCATCTCCTTACGCAGATTCAACAGCAGCTGGGTCGTGAGAGCTGAAAGACGTTCAAGCTCAAAGTTACAGGTTCTGTCATACTCGATTCTATTTCTTTCTACTCTAGAGTTACTGGCTTTCCTTTTGAGCAGACTAAGAAGAAGCCCACGTAGCGGTAGCAGCTACGACTTATTCCTTCTGGGCTTACTTGCCAAGTACAATAGCAACATATTCTTTACCAGCAAACTCGATTTAACCGGGTGTTCCCTCTCCGTTCTAGCTTTCTAAATAAGTCAGATCGGTGCCCTTTATCTGGGAAGACTCCTAAATCAGTTAACTGGGTATGAGAAGGCCTCCCCTCTAGTCTATAGTAGCCCTTCTTCCTTTTGTTTGTGCATCTTTCTCTTTATCCCTTTCTGTTTGTTGGTCAACAACCACAAGTCAATAGGATGAATTCTGAACTTATAAAGGAGAAGTGAACCGTTCAGGCAAACGAAGCAGTTTGCTTTCTCTAGAAAGACTCTGCAGGGGAATTCACCCTTTCTTTAGTGGATTGGCTCACTACTGACTTACTATCTAGTTACTAGAAAGATTAAGGTACCGTACTGGTTGGTTTGACCAAGACTGAGACTGACAGACTGCTTTCAACCGGGGTGGAATGGACCTTTACTGCACTGCTAGCGTTTTAGAGCTTGAAATAACTAGCACTCATACGGATTGGACTTAAACCAACCGTGCTACTAGGCTTAAAAGAAAAGCTTTAACTCTCCCCCCCAAACCGCCCTATTACACCTAGGCTCATATGCTCTTCAAAAGGAAAATAG